AAAAAAAATAGAGCTAATTACAACCATACAAATAACAACAATTTTTTTGTCAATAGTTCAATATGCACATAGAATTGAAATTTTTACATGTAACCAATTTCAAGCCTGTTGCAATTTTGTCTGTTTGTCGTCGGGCATTAGAGAGAGAAAAGAGAAGACCAATGTGAGTTATGGGCACTTGCATTTTACACAAGAAATAGGTGGTAGCTTTGTGGGCCCAACTTTTTTATTTTGAGTAGGCCAACCCTTTTTGTTTTGTTTGGGTGGATCCAATCTTTTATTTTTGGTTTTTGGTGGGCACAGTTGAGACATTACACACACGCAAAAAATATATATATATCTATACAGGTAATAATTATTTTTTTTTCAGGGTGGGCAAGTGCCCCCCCTGCCCTTGAACAGCTCCGCCCAGGCTTCTCCAAGAGGGTTTTTATAGAGCCTTAGATGACCCAAATCTTAGTTGGGTCTGATTACAATTATCTCATCACTCATTTATTAACCATTAATTATAATAAAATTTATAATTAACTCATAATTAGATTTTTTTACCCTAATTAATTATTAATTGATTTTATCTCCTTTATCCTTTAGTTTTCGATCAATTCTATTGTGTATGACCATATAGATTCAAGCATATACCCGATTGTAGGCATTTTGTACTAACTATAAGTAGCATCTCAAATTAGAACTCTTTCTAATTTAGTTTGAATTAAAACTCTTCTAATTCTCCCTTTATGAAAAATAATTAATATATTTATATTAATTTCGTTCTTCGAGTTTCTACTAATAATGAGTGACACTTAGCAACATATCATAATCAACTCTCAAATAGCACGAAGTGGGTAAAGAACTCATTCAGTCTACATTTGTCATGCAATTCAATCCTTCTGTCACATAATGCCCTAATTGAATTATTAAGATATGAAATTACCGTCAAACCCTTAACTCAATCTCATGTGTTTGATCTTAAGATTATGACTCTTAATGATCAATTAGAAATTCTTTTTAATTGTCATCCTACCTTCTAAGGACTCTTTGAGTCATATCCTAAAAAATCACATGGAACATTCTCCTTTTTTACTAAAGGTGATAGATTTCATATTGTACACTCGTATATTTTCATGTATGTCTTACTATGTCCAACGATACATATCCAAATTATATAGTTAGTAAATGAATATGTTGTATAGTTAAAATATAAAAGTCTCAAATTTAAGGATCAATTGTAACTGTAACTTATGATTTAACATTGATGGGAATATAAAACTTCATATGAAAAATTATATGTTAGTCAATGATTACGTTGAGTGTACTTGTTCTTTAACAAGCAACCACACACTTGCTTCAATGTCCCTACACTAATAACTTAAGACAAGTCACCTCATATCAAATATGAGCAAGTATATTGTATGCTAGTCTATCTGGATTATATAGTACCTACATAGTAATCCTATGATTGGAAACCTTTAAGAGTTAAATACTAAAAAGTATAGGTTTCCTTGTCTCATCACATTGAGAACCATCTTCTTAACTTATACTCTATGGACTATATCATGTATATTAAAATAAAATAAAGCAGAAATATGGTAAATAAACTTGCATTTTTATTTAATTAAGGAATGAATGTTGCTATTACAATCCCAAAATATCATATATATAATCGGTCTTAGGACATACTACCGACAATCTCCCACTTGCACTAATCCTTTTCAAGATGACTCAATTACAAGTTTAAAAGCATGTTAGTTCATAAACCAACTTTTTTTTCTAAATTTGGGCACATTGTAGACATTGGTCAAGATAACAATTTTCCCTGAAGTAATTTCAATGTCCATCTTTCCTTATCCTTTCACCAATGTGGTAGAAGAATTTTGTGTAGAGAACAATGTTATTTTCACTAGTTCATAGGCGACGAACCTATTTGTGCAGACATATCTTGTTGCACCCGAATTTTTCCACCAAAAATCATCATCTTTAAGGAGATTGACCTCGAATATGACTGCTGTGAACTTCTCTTTAAAGTTCATTGCTCCTTATTTCTTCTTTTGGAAACGACAATCCTTCTTGAAGTGTCGTAGTTTATGATAAAAAAAACATTAGTGTCTTTCTTCTTTTTGTTACTTGTAGAATCATTGTAATTGCTCCTCCTCTTCTGACTGTTCTATCCATAGTTATGAGCATGTTTATTATCCTTTCATTTCCCCACCACAAGAACCTTAAAGCAAGTTTCTCTTATTACTCATTTTCTCTTGACCCCTTGACACTTCCTCAAGCGTCAGGTGTCTTGCCAATTCCTCGAAAGATAATTCTTATTTTCTATTGTTTAATATTTTTCTTAAAATATTTTTTTGTCGAAGGAAGTTTTTCAATAATAGCAAACACTACTACAAATTCATCTATATTCATATTATTTTGTGTAAACTGATTTATGGTACGTTGAATTTCATGAAATTGATATAACATAGGTTTATCATGTACTAATTTAAAGTTGAGAAACTAACCAATAAAGAACTTCTTACTTGTAGCACATACCACTGAGATTTTTTGCTTCCAACTTGTCACATAACTACTTAGTCTTCCACTCCTTTACAAATATAGGATAGGGAGTTAGACATTGTACCCAAAATGTGTCCCTTGCACATAGTCATATTGCTCCTACTTTGCCCGACTTCGTGTCTACTCCATCGTTTCATTTTGTTGTTCTTTAGGATTTGGTGTGGTCAGCGCATAGGCAATGTTCAATGTAGTAAGTAAAATTTATAGTTTTCTTTGCTAATGAAAGACATTTCCACCATTAAAACGATCCAACTTCATGTGACAGAGTGACTTTTCAGACAAAGAACAATCCACAAGGAATATTGTTTTTAGATTGTTGATAAAACCTTTTTGTTCCTCTTGGTGTACAATGTAGCTGGATTGCCAAAACTACAAATGTGAAATGCTTCAAGTCATGTAGGCACATTTTTCAAAAAGTAGCATTTGCCCCCACCAGATCGAAAACAATCTTGATTACCCACAGGAAAAAATAGTTGTCAAATTCTGCAACAATGCAAAATTGTAGATGCAAAACAAAATGAATAGAATGTTGTGTTTTTTAGAAAGATAAGAAATCTGAAACTCTGAGTATCCATCCATTAATGGTTGGGCAGACTCTGTATTTATAGTCATTGGTTTATGTTTGTTAATGGGTATCAGATTCAAATTTCAGTGACTTTAGTGTCATGTTTATCTGTAATGGATGCACTCAATTCGTACCTGCGTATGTGCGCCATCATGCAGGCTTCAATTGCGCCCAGCGGCCACAGCTCACGGGAAATAGCTCTCAGCCCCACGACGCGTGCGAACGGTGCTTCGAACCATGGGTTGACTCATGGTGCATAAAAGTAAATGTCTTTTCTCCACTAATATTTATATATCCACCAAAAGTTTCCCATTCTGTCGTTGTGGGATTGATCTGAAAAGGCTTCAAAAGCCCACCCAATAAAGGCGCTATTATTTTGAAAATCCTATTACAGTTTTGATAAAGTGGTTGTTTTGGTAGAAAAAGATGAAGATTGGAGGTCTAGTGAGATGGGCTTGTGGGTGGTATTATTGGTGGTTTGCTTCTTGATATGACGCTTTGAAGGATCAAGATTGAGCTTATCGTGGCATAGAGATACTTTGGAACATGTTTCTCTAAAGAAGAAGCATGGTTTTGATCAAAAGTGCTTCTGGTGAATGGGTTGGGACTTTTGTTCCGCTGTGTGGTGTTAGTGTCTGTGTGCCAACCGGCCGAAGTCTTTTCTCTTTTCCCATAAGCACTATCATTTCCTCTTGTGCCATTGGTGGCGAGGAACTCAAGATAACTTGCATTTAGGGTATCCTCTCAATGTAACCGTCGTGGCATATGACCTATTTAGTTAACGGATTTGATAGGTTTACTTATGTACCACACGAGAGATATGAAAGTGAGAATAGACCAAGAGAGAGAAATCATAATGATAATTCCCTTTATAATATCAATTGTCAATACTAATACATATACACATATGTATGGTATTTCAAAAATAACTATGATACATAATGATTTAGTATTTGAGAATACCGCAAGGGTTACAGGATGAAAGTCACAAGAAGACTAAGTGCTCACAGTTAAAAGTCTCCAAAGTGATGAATACTGTGATCTGTGCCATGCCACTCCTCTTAACAGCATACATACTTTTCAAATGGTAAGCTTTTTTATTGAAATTGATTCCTTGTGCTTGTGCTATTTGGTGAAATTGAACATAAATTGTTAGACCCTTTGATGAATTTGAATTGAAATTGTTGACGGTTTGAGGATTTTCAGTTGAAATGGGACTTCTATTAGAGTGTATTTGCATTGTAATTAAGCTAAAATGTAAGTTCAAACTGATTTTCAATTTTATTGGAGAGAGATGATACTTTAAGATGGTGTCAAACTTGTTATTCGAGAGGTCCCTTTTTATCTTTTTCTTTTTAGGTCAGACGTGTCCTTTTCATCTCAAATCTAGCTTTTATGTGTACTATGTGTGCCTGTGTCTCTGGCTGGGGGCTTAGGGTGTTAACAAATAAGTTTGATAATCATCATTCTTCAGTAGAACAAAGTAAAATACAGGGCAAGAAAAACTTTTTCCAATCTCAGTTGCCACTCCTACCCCACATCTCCCAAAACACACAACAAAAAAAAAAAAAACCCCACAAGGAAGAAAGGAAAAGGGCAAAAAAGGCAAATAAAACGAAGGGCATGCAGTCACAAAAGCTCGCACTCGATCCAGCAAGAAGAGATGTTTGAGAAGCATCATGTCTAATGAAGATGTCTGGTAACCTGTAAGCATAGGTGATCTAACCAGTCATGGCGGTTTACAAACCTACCTAAATGATTCTAAAAGTTGCCACACTATGCTATGGACGAGGTCTTTGCACTTGGAAAGCCTCACAAAAAATTGTAGATGCTAAGGGATAAGTTACAGGATCTTAATTGTGGTTAAAGATTGAAGTCATCAAGGCTTCCATAATTTCATCGTGCAATCTTCACCGTATGTAGCGACAAGGTTCCTGTGGGGATGGTGAGTGATACCAATGACGTCCTTCTCATGCACCTGCCAGTAAGGAGAAAATAGAGCGCTTCAATACACAACATATTTCTGCAAGAAGCCCTTTGAAAAATTCTACAGAGACAATAACTAGCACTAGGGAAATAAACCTAGAGACTTTTCTTTTTTGTTTTTTTTAGGAAAATTGAACAGTCTGGAGAAAGCAGCATCAATAACTTTGCATTCACACATGCACACGTATATTTTGAAGTAATAATGTATGCTGTTCTCAACATTATGTATTGCCCTTCATATATGCTGTTGGAAAGAGGGGAGAAAGGTGGGGGGAGGGGGGGGGGGGGGGCCATGCATAGTATTGCACATCTTGCACATCTTTCTGTACGAAGGGTTGGGTGTTTTGTTAACACGAGGGATTCAAAAGCAGCAGCGAAATGAGTACTATGGGTGGGTGTACATACAGAGCAAGTTTGTTATTCACCTTGTCAAACATTGACGAAGGGCAATAAGAAGCATAACTCTGTAAACTATAATGTAATATTCTATCCCAGCCAACAGGAAGAATCATCATAGTGTAAGATTGACAGCTGCTTAGCCTCCAAAACATAGAAGCTTACCTTCATTAAATGCTCTAGTTTTCCAGATTGATAGCTGAAGCAGTACATATTTCTGCATACAGTTCACAAGTCATTGAGGTTAACAAAGAGATCAATAAAATCAATCTATGTGTACATTAAATAAACAATAACAATAATAGGCAGACATTTAAACAATACTTTATGCTGTAGTTTCCAGTTCAACGAGTTCCTCAACAAAAGACACAAAACTAGAGAGCATCATAAATGTTTGACAGGTTATATATCTGTTTTCCCCGTTAACACTTAACAGAACATACGTAACTTTTCACACTTAATCTTTAACATTCTCACACAAATTAGCCGTCCTCGTATTTGAACCCAAGCATTTTAACATTGCACTAGGGTTCTTAATCTGTTTTCTTTATCATCATATTCTGTGAATTTTCTCATGCAACTGGCATAACGAATACACTAGTACCAACATTCATGAACAAGCCAACAGATCAATTGAAGAATCCACTCTATTTCAATATTACTGCTGCTTAACATGTCAGAAATTTCAGTAATGGCACACACTATTCATGCTTTAAATCCTAAGAGAGCAGGAAAGACCAGCTTTTTGTCCTCCTTTTCAAGCTTACTCTGTCTGACATATCTGAGAGAATAATGTAACATAAGCATGAGAGCCCCCATGAAGGCAATTCCATCCGCCTCGTCCCTCCTTCCATCCACCCCCTTCCCCTTATCCCAACCTCTCTTTCCTTCTTCCATGATAGGGCAGAAACAAAGTGCTATTACTCTTTAGTTTTAACAATTAGTTGAACAACATCTCTTAAATTGGAAGCAGAGAGACCCAAAGGATTAAGAGAATTGTGTATATGTATACCTCTATATGACCCATGTCATTACATTTTTCATAACTAGAAGAGTGACAGAAAGGATAAAAAGTTTACTAACTAAAAGCATAAAAGCAAGACAGAGCTCCATTTAGGAACGAAGAGCAAAGACTTCTTTTAAGTCATACCTGTCTTCACCAACACAGTAAATCCATTCCCCTTTCGTTGATAGGCAAGCTGCCACAAAATCTCCACCTTCTCTTTTACCGGATGAGAAGCTCTTCACAACCTGCACAAAAAACATATGCAAAGAAAATTTCAACTATAATTACTACAGATGTGCTCTACTAGCTCTGATTAGTTCAGTGTTCAGGAGTATTATTAGAGAGGCAAGTATTTTCTTTAAGGGAACACACATTTAAGTTGATAGAGTAACAATCAGCAGAATGTAAAATCTAATATATGTACTCCATACTAAAAATGAAACTCCACTCAACTACACAAAATCTTTATTCCAACTATTAGGAGTCGGCTATATGAATCATGTTTCTCCATTATACTCCATCAAAGGTCATACTTTCTGTTAAATAATGAACTATCATATCATTTTCTACTATTTCATTTAAGTTAATTTCAACCTAGTTCTACATTTTGTATTATCATCGACATGTATCAAATCGTTCTTCTTCACTGGTGCAATACTAATCCTCTATAAAACAAATACAAACCATCTAAATCGACTCCCTCTTAATTTATCTCATATTGGTGCTATTCTTACAGTTTCACAAATATACTGTTTCCTAATTTTATCCTTTATTGTTTTATACCACATATCTTAACATCGTCATTTCTACAACACTTAGGTTTATGAGTGTTGCTTTTCGCTTTAGTTCTATAATTAGCATCATCTCCAATCTCCCCTCCCAAGTGACCCCAAATACCGAAAGTGTTCGCCATTTGATGTCTCTTGCTCTTCAATCTTAACTACCTCTCTGCTTGAATTTTTACTATTACTAAAACTACATTTCATATATTTAATTTTATTTTTACTTATGTTGAATCCTTTTGATTCTAAAGTTTCTCTCCGAACTTTTAATTTGTTGTCAATTCGTACTTTAGTTTCATCAACCACTACTAGATCACCGACAGATAATATACACTATGGGAACTCAATCTGAATGTGTCTCATCAATACATTCAGAATCAAGACAAACTAAAAATTAAGTCTAAAATAATCTCATAATCCATTTATAATGTGTAGCATATACCTGGTAGAAGAAAACTAAGGCATGCACCATAAAGGAAGTGGGTCACTCATTACAATCTCAATAGAAGACACCATGTCGCATTATTGCCCGGCCATTATCGGAGGTCAGTCCAACAGTGTTACAACAATACACATTGTCGGACAGGCAATTGCATAATATGTAACTGGCAATCAGTCTTGTATTTCTTATTTTTTATTAGTTTCAATTACTTATTGTTTAATAACTCTTACTGGCAAGCTGAAAACAACTCAGGTGTGATTGGTGCTAAAAGTGCCTGATGTCATGCAGAATGCATCGAAAAATACAACACTATTTTTTTGGGTGCATGAAGAAAGAAAAATTATCACCATCTTATGTATATTGCTGGCAAAATTTGTAAAAGATGTACATAAACTCGGAATTATGACTGGCCAGAAAAAAAAAAAAAAAAAAAGAGCTATAATCATCCATGTAACATGCGACTTTTTAACTTATGCTATTAGTATTACGTCACCTTTAAATCTTGTGCAACAAAGTGCCTGGCTAATTACTTGAAGCAACTATGCCACACCAAGTCACAGATATTCCTTTTACTTGCTCGTCATACCCACTACACAATGCTATAAATACTATTATGTAATAGACTAAATAGTACATCTTTCGATTTTGAGCAGGAAACGGATTCTCCAATTTCTTGAAGCATGTATGCCACACTGATTGACAGTCATGCCAAATCAAAATTTTAAACCTCTAATTGATTGAAATCCTTTGAGCCTTTCAATAAACAGAGAACTTTTTTAAGCAGCTTCAATGAGATATTACAGTAACTGAGTTAGCATAATAAATCCACCAATTATTTGAGGAAGAACAGGAACATCGCTGTTTAGGAGCAAGAACATTGTCCGACACAAAAGCAACAAAAAAACAGTTGAAACTCCCTCTATTGAATATTCTCTGCCAATTCCAGATATCATATCAATTGCATAAATGACCACACTATTCTATACAGCTTACCACTCAAGAGGCCGAAACTGTAGTATAGGGAAAGTTACATATGATTGCTCGCCTGCAGACCCTCCCACTTTCAGAAATTTCAAGTATGTCAAGTTCTGCAACCCCATACATTTCTTTCGACAATCCAAATTAATACTAGGTATCAGCTATACTAGTTTCACATTTTCAGAACATTTAGCTAATTTATTTAAAATTTGTACATTTTCCATCATCGAAACTAATAGGCAACCTTTTTTATTTTTCATTTTTTTTACTTCGTTATTACTTTAGCCTTTTTTTTTTTGGACAAATCCCTGAACAGTTAAGAACTTCAACTTCTCAACAGAATATTTGTTGCCCTAACGTTTACAGAGTGTATGGATAATTACCTGTCCTTGAAGTGTCATGAGGTATATAGAGGATGTTTTGTTACACACAATAATGTGATCTGGATTTTTGGGGAAAAGATGAACAGAATTCACAGATGCATCACCGCCCTGCCAATCATCAATGACAAAGGTGGCAATAAGGTCAACAAAACTAATTAAAGCATTCTTGAAAGGATTAAAAAAAAAAAGATGAAATAGCTCAATTGCTATGACCAAGGGTGATAGCACTGGTCATAACAAGACATAGAATACCCTTAAAGGAGGCGGGGGCTTGAACGTCTGTAGACAGTCTGTAGTCTTCACGTCCCAAACCTATATAGGGCAGACCATATCAACTATGCATGCAGAGAAATGAAAAAACATGAGTAGCTTGGCCTATATACACAACAAATGAAAAATGTAACTTACCTTGACCGTGCAATCACTGGATGCAGTGATAACTCGAGCTCCATCATTGGTAAAGATGGCATCATTAACATAAGAAGAATGGCCACGAAATTCCTTCAACAATTTTCCTGACTTTAGGCCATGGATTCTGCATCAAACACAGCTCTAAGTAATATCAGCCGATAAGCAAGAAAATAAGTGTTCTGCCGGTATTAGGAAACATAAGGTTCTGATATTGGAGCAGCCACTACATCATGGGTTAAAAGATTTATAACCATCATTAGGAAATAATTAACAGAAAAAGTTAAAACAATTTTACACAAATTTTATCAAAGATGAAATTTCAGAACCACCACAACATGGTCCTATAAATTTATGCAACAGCTAATGGCCAAGAGCTCACAAAATTTATTAAAAAAGACCTTGCAGTGCCATCAAATGATGTGCTTAATAGCTGATTTCCATCCCGAGAAAAGACAAGACAAGTGACACCTTGAGAATGTGCACGCTCAAAACGGCGCAAGCATTGTCCAGTCCTGATGCGCCAAACCTACAGCAATTACAAAATTAAATTTGAAATTGACAATTTCATTAATAAACCTAAGTGAATATCCTTATAAATAAACAGAATGAAAATAAAAAAGATGAAAATGCATAATCAGAGCAATGATATGATGACGAATGTACAATGGGATGTATCCAATAGGTTCTAAAAGGGTTCCACCAATCTCAATACCCCAAACAGAATCGGCAGTCCAACCACCTGCACCATCCACCAGGTTGCTCAGCAACATTTTATAACTAAAATTTGATCAGGCTAGAAAACACTTGGTTACCATCTTTTCAGCTGAACTCCTAGAACACCTATCCTTTTAGAGCTAAAACCTGGTCCCCATGAAATGGTCACTTTCCCTCTTATGACATCTTCTCCCTTTGTTCCTTGAGGTTTCTATACTACATATGTGAAATATGGTAATAAGTTTGAAGTACAGTAATAGCAGCAATGTGACGGAACTGTAGAAGCCATGGTGAAGATTAATAGCGCGAATTAAAATATGGATATCTTCTGGTTCAGGAGCCAACCTTTCGTTATGCAACTCAGCACATAGAGAGTTCCAACCACCCAACAACACACTAAGCAAATCAAAACGAAAAATTGAAGCAACAGCAAATCAACATCCTGGTAGGAGAATCCAAGCCACGGAAAACCAACAAGTGAGCAAATCAACCAATTAGAGAATCTACGAGCCAATTGAACCTTGGATGATCAGTGAGCCAAATCTCTTACCCATTGAATATTTTATGATATTAATATTTGTTTGCTTGTTTGGTAGCCCCAGGTGTGATCCCAGATTTCACGTGAGAGGGGTGTAAATTTATTATCATAGACAACTAAGAAATATTGGGGACATCGAAAGTTGGTTTTTATATTTGAGGAGCCTCTCCACCCATTACCAATTGGTTTTTAGTTGAATTCCCTAACGGTTTTACAAGGTGTATCTAACATGTTCCATTAAATATGCACCCAACAAGCATATCTAGAATCAAGTTTCCAATATTGCTGTCCACATTGCTCTCTTTTTCTATCAGCAACAAACAACACAATTCTTGCTAAGAATAAAAATTCAGAATTCAATACAAGGAGCAATTGTTCAAAAGAAATGTAAAAAAGAAAACAAGAAGAACTACAATAGAAACAAAAACTAATTCACTGTTCAAAAACTGAAACCCAATCTATCCGAAAGATAAATTATGGAATACCCACAATCCATCCAAAAATGGTGTCTCCCAGTCCTCCACCTACACAATTGCTCCAACTAAATCAAGAGCACAGAAGTCATCTGCAGTAGATGAATAGACCCTTTTGTAGATGGAGTGTGAACACACAATCCTGTCCCCTTCAATTAGAGTTGGGGATCTAAAGAACCAAAGCCTAGCCACATACCAGCATCTTACGTGCATACTTGAGTGCATTAAGATATCCACTATCCAATTATCAAAATCTCTATACATCTTAACAAAACCAAACAAGGGATAACCTTGCGAATATAAAAAGTTTTGTCCCAAACTTTGAAGTCTAATTAGCGGAAACTTTCTCCAAGCTGCTATAAGCTTTCAATCTACATTAGCAAAAAAAGGAAAATGTAGTTTCCAGCAACTACCACAAATATAAGAACTCCAGGAAGAAGGCGCAATGTCTGTAGATTTGGGGATGTAAACTCAAGCCCAGGAAACTCTGGGCATGTTTGGTTTTGTTCTGCAAAACTGTTTTTTGTTTTCAAAATTTCAAAAACACTCAAAACCTGTTTATTTAACATTTTTATTCTCAAATTTTTGAAAAAAAATGAGAATTGGAACAAAAAAAATAGAAAACAAGTTACACTTGTTTTCAAAGTTTTCTTTGAAAATGTTGGAAACACGAAAATAAAGACCTCTTTAATGAGGTCTGCCCTTCGAGTCCCCTTAGTAGCAAAAGGCTTCCCTTTTTTTTTTTTCCTTCCCTTCTCTCTCCAGCGTCTTCTTTTTCTCCAGTCCAGCGTCTTCTTCTCCAGTCCAGCGTCATCTTCTTCACCACAAAGGAAGCTTCAGATCTCTCTTGCAACAACAAAGATTTAGATCTACACAAATTTGGTGGTGCTTTGTGGGTTTTGGTAGTGGTTGTGGCTTTCGGTGGTTGTGGGTTTTGGTGGTGGTTGTGGGTTTTGGTGGTGTTTTGTGCTTTGTGGGTCTTGATGCATAGTGAAAGGGAGAGAGACAATTTTGTGGGTTTCGGTGGTGCTTTGTGCTTTGTAGGTCTTGATACACAGTGAAAGGGAGAGAGACAGATAGTTAAAGCGAGAGGTGGGAATTGTAAATTATTGTCCAAACAAATTTTATAATTTTTGTTCTTTAAAACTATTCTCAAAAACATATAGTCAAACAGGTTTTGCAACCTAAAAATTTTTAAAAACACTTTTTTAAAACTCTTCTCAAAAATATTTTTCAGATACTGTTTTTTGAGATGCAAACCAAACAGGCTCTCTGGGTTCCAGACACATTTAATAAGTGAGGAACTTGGTGGCCTAGGAACTTGGTCACAATGTTTGACAAAAGAGCACAACACAACAAACTTTTACTTCGACAAAATAACTAACCTTACACAATCTACATCCAAGATAATACCCAATATATCAAGACCCATTGAACCTCCCTGGATTCTCCTTGCCAACCCCTTAAAAGCCTTTTTTATGGAGGAAGAACTTTTCCTTTGCCAGATTATGTTCTTCACCCTTGATATCATCAATCTTCCAGCTTCCAATTTATGGAGGTAAGGCTTTGTAGATAAGCCTTATTTTTGCTTAAGGAGGTAAAAATGCGTACATCTCACTCTACCCAATCCCTGCAGTGGCGGAAGCCTCGTACTAAGCCGCATTTTTACTCTTTTTCTATGCCTCTAGCTTAGAAACATGTAATGGCAGAATCTAAAAGGATGAAAACAATTATAGAATAGATGATATTGATGCATGGATACTACTTGGTCCCAAAATAGATTGAATCGTATTAGCACAAGTGGAACTTTGCTCAAAACCAAAGACTAATTAGAGGGTTTTTTCCACACTTGTCCACAAATCTTCAAAAACATTTATTCTCATTAGTGAACAAAGTGAAAATGAATTGCATATATGCATATGGATACCACTTTAGCAGAATTGATCCGAAAATAGGAAAATATTACTTTAGCAAAAAAGAGGCGATGGTCATTTTACACTAGGAGCATACCAACTTTCTGAACTTCGTTTTTCCCTGTGACAACAGCAATTTTGTCCTTACTTTCTTCTCTGTTATCTTCACTCTCTAGTGGTTTAAGGTCGTTTGGTCTCTCTTTTTTATAAATGATCCTTGGGTAGTATATACAAGAGTATCTCCATCTCTCAGAGAACATACTTTTTCCATATTTTGAGAGAGCCTGGTGTGATTGGTTACTACTTTAATCATTCAGTTGAGCTAAAATACTAGTTGGTTCACTAGTGTAGACCTGGGTAGGTACCATGGGATATATCTGTATTAATCTCCTACTAAATCTGACATCAAACAGGTAATCAGTGTGGGAAGTCACGACATATGCTAAGAATCATCACATTGACCTGCAAAATCTTCAAAACTCTGTTACTGATAGAAAGACTTATCAACGTTGCAGTATTACCATTGAACAAAACCCAGACATGTGGCAGTCTAAGAAGCAGAGTTCAGACCAATGGTGCAAGTGATATGTGAACTCTTATGACAATAGATCATGGTGAAATAGAAAAACAGCGAATTACAGTAGAAATTGCCAATAATTCAGTTCGTCGAGAAGGCTATGTTCCATTCATATTTGGACTTCCATTTGGAAATGCTGGGGTAAAGGTTGGGACGAGAAGAAACTTGCCAATATTTGGTTTCACTACTGTAAAATTTATTATTAACTCTGTTGCAAGCCGGAAGCGTTTAATGTCTTTGTACCAAATTGAGTAGGACTACAGGCGGCGTGAGACTATTACAGAAAGTAGCAGCATTATTGCACTTGAAACATCATCTTGTAAATATTCTCAGGAACCGATCCCACAATAGAGTGACCCCATTTTTTATCCCTCTTTCCTTTCTTTTTTTCCCCTCTTCTCCTCTTCTCTTCTCTTCTCTTCTTCCCATTCATTTTCTTCTTCTCATTTGAACCTCTAACTCGAAGATTATAAACAACTTACGTTTCTCCATTATCAATTGTACCCATGAAAAGACAATTACTGGTAAGGACCATATATTCTCCTGCTATATGCATACATGTATCATTGCTGGTCGAAGAATTTTTCATTTTATTTATTTATTATTTTTTTTTTTTGCGAGGGGGTGGTATTAGGGAGAGGATACTGACTAAAGAAATTGTAAATCAGGAATTACTCTATAACAAAGATAGAAACTCACTTTAATCTTTCCATCTTGGGAACCAGATGCAAGCATCTCTGAGTCTCTACTAAACTCCACACAGAGGACAGCATCATCATGCATCATAAAAGTTTCCTGCAAAAGTTCATCAGCTTGTCAGTAAAATTGTGAAGACAGAAGCGTCAAGTGCAAAGAAATGGCCACACTCAAAGCCAAGGAGAGACAGAAATAACCCATCAGATTGTGACAAATTCAATGTCCAAGAGCACAACTTGCTCAGGCATAAAAAAACAGGGTTTAGAAATAAATAAAATCAGTTAAGTCTCAATTTGACAAAACAACATATATAGCTTTTGAAGTAAAACATGTGACATTATAACGATCCCAAGTTTACGATACATAAACAGTAAAATCCGTACCATGGTTGGCACCAGTGAGACCTGAAGGGTAGGGACCAAACAAGACTTATTGCAAACAAAAAACCAAAACTCGTTGCACCAGCTGATCTCGGCAACATATTATTCATTACACAGAAAATGAGGTAAAAAAATTGTAGGGCGTTCAATTTAAGATAGTTTCAGATGCATCAATCGACATTTCTTATTTATCATTTTTTCCTATATAAAAGGGAGGAGGGGGTTGTCAGCCAGCTTCGCTACCATAGCATTATAGCGATGTGTTGTTCCCAAAAGACAAAAGCTGTGGATACCATAAAGGTTGCTCAGCACTACAGTCACCACAGCTAAAATGCCCACAGTTTACCTTTTTCTGTTTTTATCCCCTTGTTTCCAGCCAAGTTTTTCCATGTCATTCAAAGTTCAACACCCTCAATCTATAGTTTAACAGTTTTAACACCCTTCATCTAAAGTTTATCGCCATCATGAATACCAAATGGCTAACTACTAAGTCGGAAAAGATATCTGTTTGATCACCATATAATTCTATCATATGGTTAGAACTAGATAGGTTAGTTAAATGTTAACTAAGTGACAAATACTGAGGATTTTTAATGGGCACACAGCTAGTACTTTTAGACAAGAGTAATTGAATATCAAGTTCGGGCCATCAGCCTGAATGTAGCTTGTGTGTAAACTTCAGGAATAAAAGCCCAGATATTTTGAGTGTTCACTAGGGACTTGATAAAATTTAAATAATGAAGTAAACTATTCCACTTACAGATAATGAAATAAATGGATGTTAGTTATTAAGGTCCTGGGAATTTCTAAGGCCCCCAGATTGCTAAAACCAACAGCAGTAGCATAAAAATCACTAATATTTATTTTGCTCTTCCTTTTTTCACTTTTTTGAGTTCATACATGCTGACAATAAACTTATGCCAAAGCAAATATAGAGGAACGACTGTACTAAAAAGGTAATAAAGAATTATAAAAATTTTGTTCAACTATAAAAGACACCAATGACCCTCGCTAATATTTAAAAATTACTCAAATCGACATTATTATGAATAACTGTCCTGCACATATTATTAAGTTTAAGTTCACTTCAAACATTTTCTTCTCAGAGAGTTAACTGTAAACTTCAATCACATAAAGCACACACGTGCATATTGCAGACTATTGTAACTTGAAAGCTTGGGGGAGGGAGGGGAATCAAATAAAAGGAAAATGAAAATACAGAACTCACATCTGCCTGATATTGAAGATCTTTCTTCAGCTTCCCACTTATGTGGTCCCAAACCTAGTGTGCACCAAGAGAGAAAGCAAATAAGTATGGCCAACAAATTATCAGCCATGGGACTGGTATTTTGTAATCACATCTCCAGATTCTACCTCAATAAATCCATCAACAGAGCAAGAAACAAGGAACTGCCCATCCGGTGAGAATCGAGCACTTTCTGGGTGACTTTTTTTACCAAACTGCAGTGAGATACCACAGGTAAGGATGAGATCAAGATTTGCAGGGTAAAGTTCACAATATAAAAAATAAAAATTGTAAAACAAGATATAAATTCAAAAGTAAAAACTTTAGATTGTTCTAACTGAAGTATGAGTAAACTGAATATGCATTTCAAGCAGAAATGATATGATCCTGTTGATCCTGTTCTCCTTTCTTCTGATAGTTTCTTCAGTCTACCCCTATAGTATCAGCAGAAGATCCTCCAAAAGTCTCATTCATGAGCAAAAGTTCTTTGATTTTGAGAATTACACATTCAGCTAGTTAGTCATACCATTCGTAATCCTTCAGATGTCACAGCGGTTATTACTCAGAGTGCACGTATCACTCAACTTGAGCATTCAAAGAGCTATTTTGCGTATTTTTTTTCGAGATTCAAAGTAAAGTGGAGCTGATAAGAACTGTAACTATCGATACATTTATGTTTTGTTCACACGGCAGAAGTCTGAGGTATCGAATTTCAGAGTCCTGACACCGTGACCACTGGGCCGGCTCAATCATAAGGTCAGCAAAGCCTGGGCTTTAGGCCCCATTTTCAAAGAGGCCCCCATAATTCGTGAGTTTATAGTTATCCCAAATAAAAAAAATTAAATCTATAACAATTTAAGCCCACAAAAAAGGCCTATGAGCATTTAAGTCAAATAAAAAATAAATAGATTTACTTGGGCCTATGAGTCCAGCCCAAAATATTAAAAACGCAAAAAAAAACAAAATGCAAAAGTTAACATTAAAAAAAAAAATCCACTCACATGTCAACTCTCTCTCTCCACAGTCAAGACACGAGCTAAAAAATTTCAAACATATCTCTATCTGACTCGCCAAAACACAAGCTAAAAAAAATCTTAAACACAGATTCTCACGTCTCTCTTTCTCTCCGGTCAAAACACTAACACCCTCCATCTCATTCTCTATCTACTGTAACATCTACGGTAACAATTTTTTTCACTAAAGAGCATATTTGAATAATTTAAGGTATATGAAAATATTTCTGATTTTTCATTCAAACTATAGAAATTAAAACCATTAGACCATGGTATTTTAAAAATATTGTTTTGATCTCAATTTGTTTTAAAATATGATAGCTTTTCTGATATTGATGATTTTGATTTTTTTAGAATTAACCGTTTTAAAGAAAATTTTACAAACAAAAAAAAAATTCAATTGAGATAATTAATATTTTTCATTTCAAGAAATGAGAAGAACAAATTTTAAATAATGAATATTAATATAAAAATAAAAGGCCTCATTTATTTTTACCGCTTTGGGCCTCTTGGTCCGCCCCTGCATGAACACCATTTCAAAAAAGTACTAGAAGCAACTTAATAAAGAAAAATTATTGTTGGCCAAAAACGTGCGCATGTGTTCAACTATGCAGCATGTTATTGGGAATCAAAAATGAAACAAGTATAAGAAACTTTAAAATAATCAAAAAAGGGCAAGTAATGGGAGAAAAGGAGATTAAGGGGCCCCCTGCCTTAAACCCAACTCGCATTATATACAGCTCTTAAGAGCCACAGCATGACAATACTTCTAATGGATTGCCAGAAGAAATCCTCTATCCAAAATTAGATTTAAAAATTAAAAAAAAAAAAAAGAAGATATATACATTCCCAGTATCAGAGTGCAGCAGATAAACACAAAACTTCATTGACAGAATGTGGCACCATGGTAAAAAGCTATTTTTTTAGCATTTTGAGCTCATCAACATATGTATCTACAACATAGTGGCATACCTTAATAGTATGCCCAAGAGTAGTTGGGTACATATCATCAACATCTTGCTTCATAGCAGCTGTTCCTCGAAATAAGTCAAACTGAGTTCCGGGTGGAAGTAACCCTACAAGAACCAAACAAAGAGGCATCAGCAACATATAATAGTGCAGTAACCTTGTCTAGGCAACAACTAGGAACCAATTGGCATCAAATGACAAAGGTGAAATTTCAAGAATCTTTGCAATACCTCGGTGCCCTTATTTCAAAGAGAAACAAGACACACAAAAGAAACAGGATGAAGCCTCCCCCCCCCCAAAAAAAAAAAAAAAAGAAAAGAAAAAACCTCCCCCTCTTAATAGGACAAGACTATGTGGATTGCAATAGCAGCTGCTACACACCACATCTCATTCACTACTGACTGTAAGTGCTGTAAAATCTATGTGCATGCTCCTCACTTTACGCTATATTATGTTCCCCAGAACTTGTTTCAGTTACCTCAGTTGCGAGAGTAGTAGTGGTTGTGAGAAGTAGTATTGGAGTGTAATGTAAGTGTTGACAAATTCAAATTGTTTGGAGTTAATTCATGTTTGTAGTAGATCACTTTAATACGCATGAGGCTTGCATAACAGATTAGCTTATATAGGATGTAATATTATTTTCTGATGCAACCTTGGTGCTGCTGCCACTTCAGAGCCTGACCAATTAGAGCCATTAGTCGTGAAGGTGGAACCACTGAAACTTCTGCAGCTAGACCTGAAGAGTGGATAAAAATGCAAAAGCAAATATATCAGAAGCAGAAAAAAGACACACAGAAGATAGGGGTGAAACCATTCCAAATCACTACGCGTATCTAGAAATTGCACAGTAACATAACATGTTTGCAATGTCCAATCCCATCCAAAACACAGGTAACAAATTGAAATCCACTCTTGGTATTTACTCATGTCACAACCACTGGTGCAAGTTGTAACTCACTGGTGACCACCAATGAAATACTAACCTCTGAATCACTTTGAAAGACGAGTGGAATAGATCAACCACTAAAATCCATGAGCATCAAATCTAATTATAGTTAAGAACACAAGGGAAATAGAAGCACAACAAGTGAAATAAATGACACGAAATTTCCTGTTCTTACTCATTTAAATCCTACTAGTTCTGCCAAACAATTAGATTCTCATAATTTATCTTAGCCCTAACAAAATAGAACGCTCAAATTCCTGTACTGGCCTTGTGTGGTAGTTTGGTTTACATCCTGCCACTGATTTAGGGCTACTGTAATTGATTCAACCATTACCACCAGCCATTAATTGCATGGTATCTCTTGTTTTCACAAAAGGCTGAAGCCTATACTTCTGTCCACATTATAACTACTATGATCAGTACCATTGTTTTGTTTAGTTAAGCTAAAAAAATTTAACTGATCTCAGCCATTAGTTAGATGTAATTTTGATGTAGCTCGAACAGTATGGCGAAACCAAAAAATAGTGTATTACCCAATTATTTCAAAGCACATATAGAATCATTCCAGCTTGTCTTCCCGAATCCATGCCTTTTCAAATACAGATATCAGAAGCCTGAGGAATCTCCACTAGAGGTTACCGCCACAACAGTGAGCCACCTTCACGTCCAGCACCACGTTAATAAGTTCTTCTGGCTTCTTAGAAACTTTATGCATGTAAACATGAGACATCTCTAGTACTTAGTTTCACTAGTCCCATGGAAACATAGCATTACAACTGATCCTCTCCAAAATTTTGCATAGACCAATCAACTAAGTCCCTCAGACACCTCTCCATCAACTACCGAAGCTTATCAGACACCTAATTCTCTCTCAGATTTTACTTTAAAGAGGGATGCACCTCTCTTTGAATTCTTTTGAAGGGCTCACATTCTTTTGAAAAAATTTGTGATGCGTGTAGTGCAGCTTTAAGGGTGATGTCACACCCTAAGCCCCCGGAGTTTCTGATGGAATTAGTGGAGTTGTAGTATTAGTGCTAGAGGCAAAAACTCTTTGCTAGCAAAGATTATGGATAGGGGGTAATATGTCATCATCTAGGGGATAACCGAACTCCAACAATATGAAAAATGCCCTCTTAACAAGATATGATGATTCTGATTTTAAAATTTTTTCTTGGAGAAAAGAATAGAAAGGGTGGGAAGGATATGAAATTAAGTTTCCTATCCTTGGCACCACGGCCAATTATATAATGCATGGTTCAAGGTCACGGTATTGGCCATCGACTCGGAGAGCTCTAAGATACATCGATCATGGCATTGCAGTGCAGTATCGAGCAATACGACTATAAAGAAAATGTTGAACATGACGAGAGATTCAGGGCATATTGCGGTGTCGCAGAACCGTATTGGCCGATTCGGTAACGATATCTTGACAACTCAGAACTGACTCCAATGCAACTTGGACGACTCAATCGAGTCGTGTGAAACTCGGGATTTAAATGTATCACGTAATAGTATCATCTTGAAAGGTGTTGAGTTGGATTCGACTCGACCGACTTGTATCGGTATCAACATCGGCTGATACTTTGAACCATAATATAATGACAGTTCCTTTGATTGTTGTAGCCTCTACACCTACTTTCAATACAGGTGGACACGTAATTTATGAGCACAGAAGTTGCTAATATGAAAAGATAGTCAAAGACCTCATGTGTCTTTAAGATTGGTATGCAAGTGAATAAGGAGACCAAGACATGCAATGAACATCAATGCCTAAATTTGAAATTTTAGAAGTTCAACTTTTATGAATATAAATTTTTATTTTGCATGCATATATTTTAGAGGGTAGCGTCGTGCTAATGATAGATGGGTGAGTAGATCATAGATTTCCTCTTTAAGTTGTGATGTAGTCACTTCCCTATATATAAAATAGAAAATTAAGGTTCTCTTTGTGTCCAATTTTGTTTGAAAATTTTCAAATTGAATTATGTAAACAATAAAAAATCAAAACTATTGGGCCAGAAACAACATGACCCCGCCCAGTATTCTGTCTGCCAGCAACAGTCGTGAGCTATATTTTGAGGTGTAGTGCACCTCCACCCAATACCCAAGCTGACCTGGCCCCGACATCAGGAAAAAAATTTATCGAGTTGGGCTTGGCCCATGGAAACCTCTATTACTAAGGTGTACGCCAGCCCTGCCAATATAGTTTGTGATCCAAATCAAAATTGATTCAGGAAGAATGACATGATTCCTAATTAGATGACAATTCAGATTAATCAATTTATTAACACCCCGACCATGCAGAGTGAAGATCAAATAATCAAATTTCAATTGGAAAGTGTATATTAAGCAAAAAATTAAATATATAACATGATTAGAATACATAGGAAAAATTGACCACCCCACTTGTAGGAAGTGGTTAGCGTACAATGAATTTATGAAAAAAAAAATATCCTTACTATTCCTTTCAACCATAGACATTTTTGGACGTGTCACACCCCCTTGTATCTCTTGTTTTCACACCCTTGCCAAATTTTGAAAGAACACATAAGCACCCCTCTCGTCCTTTCAACCAGCCTTCTCAAGATGATGGTCCATAAAAAGAGTATTATACAACAAAATTATTATTATTATTATTATTATTATTATTATGATAGGAAACAAAGATTTTATTAATAGAACAACTCATGGAATACAAGAAGTCCAACAACAAAGCATTATATCAAGAATGTCGATGATCCAACCCCATACCAAGATGCCCTTATGATGATGGGCGTGATCCATAGTCGAGGTTGGCTAGAAGCATTGTTAGTTGAAGCTATGGAGCACCCCTTCAAGTTTCAGATCGTGTAAGCCAAAAAACGAACAGTCCAACTCACTATAATTCCGAAAAGAGACATATTTGCAATCTCCTTCGAGACCAAAGCCCAAAAGGAAGCTAACAAATAGATCTGATTTCATAACCCTTCAATCACCTCACACTTCCCCTCAAAGATTTCTTACATTTCTCTCCAACCAAACCACCAAATAATGGCAAACATTGCGAAATTCCAAAGTGTAACTCCACTACTCTTGCATCCACAAAGCCATTAAAGTCTACACAAAACATAGGGAAATGGGACTTGAAGTCACACCAAGAAAGGCCTACCATCTCAAACAACCTATTCCATAAATGCCACGTAACCGGACAATGCAAAAATACATGATTCATTCTCACAATCGTCTCTACACATAACACCATTGAGAGAGAAGGCATTTACTAGGTCTTCTCTTTTAGAGAACATCATTGGTAGTAGTCTTGCCATGAGGCATAGTCCACACACATACTTGCAGTTTCAAAGGCATTTTAACTTTCTAAATCTGCAAAGATAGATAAAAAATTAGGAGAGAAGAATCATCAACTATGAAGCACAGATACTTCAAAAGGGTCAAAGTATCCGTATCGGATACTTTTGGATACGGATACGCATTGGATACATCTCGGATACGTCTGATAAGTATCCTAAAATTAAAAAAATAAATTTAATTTTCAGATACGAGTGGGATACGCATAAGGATACGACGGGGGTGTTACTCAAATTTTAAAAAAGTATAGGGGCACAAGAGCAAATATATTTAGGCCCTTATTTGCCAAAAAAAATATATCATGAAACCCTATTTTCTTTTATTCCCCAGCCCCCCCTTCAGTCTCTCTCTCTCTCTCTCTCTCTCTCTCTCTCTCACTGACGATCGACTGACTGTATTTGACGCCGATCGACGACGGGTATCTCCTCTTTCACCTCCGACAACCTGTATTTGACCTCGACAACATCTCTCGACGATGAAAAAACATCCTATCTCTCTGTGTCCAAGTATATCGGGTAAGCTTTCTCCTCTCTCTATCTCCTCTCTCTATTTTTCTGTCTCTCTGTCGTCTCTTTTGCCTTTTACCAGTGATTAACACTCCTTTTGCGCCTTGAATTAGGGTTTGCAATTTAAGAAATTTTTTGGGGCCTTGAATTAGGATTTGCAATTAGAGTTTTTTTTTTTGGAGCAATATGGAGAACAAACTATACATATACAGATATATTATTCAATAATTAGGGTTTTTTCAGGGAGCCTTGAATTAGGTTTTTTTGCACTGTTTGTCTTGGTGGGTTTTTGGTTTTGGATTGATCGGGTCCACTGTGTTTGGTGGCTGCCCTCTTGATTGGACTGCCTTTTCTATGGAAGCATTTTCTGGTCTTTGGGAGTTTATGAACTCTCTGTTTCTTCTGGTGTTATGCTCTGTTTGGAGTTTGGCATTATGGGTGCATTGTCTTTATGGTGGCTGCGTTGCTTTGAGATAATTTTGGGGAAACGTCTTAGTAACAAGAGGGACTGTTTTGTTGCTTGACTTGTAATAGGATAATACTCCAAATTGCAAGCTTTTTGTTGCTTGACGGACTTGATATTATGCAATATGTATGTGTTGTTTAAGCATGGACTTGATATTATGCAATATGTATGTGATATAGAATGTATGATTTATGAATGATAGAATGGTTAGTTATTATTATATATCTTTAATATATGTGTGATTCACTTTATAAATCATAATTATTACATTAAATATAATAATAAAATTTTAAAAAATATATATATTATGGACGTATCCTAGTCGTACCCATATGCTGTTTTTTTTTTTTTGTCGTATCGCCATATCCGTATCGTATATGTATCTCATATCCGTATCCGTGCTTTATATATCATCAATCAAGGAATCAAAAAGGATTTACAAGAGAACAACCCCATCGAGTCAAAGACCCAACTTCTTTTATCCAAAGAATCAGGATGTAAAGTTATACCATCAAGCAAAGAAAGAAGTGAGCCCAATTTCACAATTTCCCTCTCATTACGACATGAAACCCATAATCCTAAGACACTAGATAAGCGTAACAACTAACCATTGAAGCAATGCAGACCACATGGAAGTGTGAAAGATCATAGAGATGAGGATATGAGAATGCTAAGGATGAATCCCCACTCAAAACATCCTCTGAAAAACGGACTCTCTTCTCACTACCCACCACAAATTTAATCTTTTAAGAAAAAGATTGTAATATTTGAGAAATGAACTTCTTGAATTTCGAAAACTACCCCTTTCAACCTTGTTAGCATCTCATTCATTGGCCTACAAACCATATTTTCTCCTAATAACCAAATGCCACGATGAATTTTGCTCCAACAAAAACCGTCAAAGTCATCTCCCAACCAAAGTTAAATTTCTTGCCTTCAAGTTACCCACCGCAAGACCAACTTTAACTTGAGGCCTAGACACAACCTCCCACCAAATCAAATAATCTTTCTTACCTTCACCACTAACTTATCATAAAAAATCTCTTATCATCCCTTCAATCATTCTTGCCATCAAAGACGGGATTTTAAAAAGAGGAAAAAAATAAATGGGAATGCTAACCAACATCGACTAAATTAAGGTAAACTTCTTAGATATAAAAGTTTTCTTCCACTCATCCAATTTTCTCTCAATCTTCTCAACAACCGGATCTCAAAACCCCAATGCTAAAGGGTTACCCCCAAAAGCGAGACTCAAATACTGAAGGGGCCAACCTCTCACCGGACATCCCAAAGCACTAGCCATATTCTCCTGACTAGAATTAATTCCAACAATAAGACTCTAATCCATATTGACTGTAAGCCTAGAAATCATGCCAAACATATCAACAACGTTCTTAAGATTCAACAATTTCT